CTCAGCAACCTGCCTGTCTGCCCTGATGACCTCTTCAAAGTGGGCTTTCACAGCAGTCTCCCAGACAGATTCAGACATCCCCTTTGGCAGGGACTTTGGATGCATTGCACCAGAACAATACCAGATTTTGAAGTTCTGAAATGCTCTTGCTGGGGCAGGGTGCACACAGCTAATGGCAACAGGGAGATCAGCAGCCACTGGGACTCCAGAAAAGACCTGTCAGGAACACAGGCACCTCCCAAATAGCATCAGAACTGGGGACCATCAGGTCTCATCCAGATGTTTCAGAGAAGATTGATTTGACTAAGACCTGAAAAATTAGATTAAGACCTGAAAGAAAATATTTAATGTAATTCCCTGCCTGGGCCTGTAATTACTTTTACCTCTGGACGTTTATCTACGTCTATGCCTGTGTAACCCTTTGGGACTCATCCCAATTTCTTGATCAAACTGCTGGCTTTGAGTGCCACTAAATTCTACAGTTTGTTAGTGCTTTGGGTAGATTTTGTTCCTGGTTCAGACACTTCTAGCTGGATGTTTAATGTAGGTGCCTCTGCATGATGTGGGTTTCTGGTGTTTGTTCTTCTACCTAGAAGAACAGAGAAGTGGAAATCTTTATGATTCCATGCAGCCCTGGCACCGATGTTGTGATCAAATGCAGCTCTGATCTTGTTCCCTCAGCTTCAGTCTGGAGTCTGGGAAAACCTGTGCTCTTGAGCTAGAAGGTACCGACATTTTCTTTAGCTTCAACACTCCCTACAGGGTTTACTTAACTGGTACAGTGAAAATGAGGAAGACTAGTCCTACCCATGAGCCTTGCATGGAAAAAGAGGGGGATGCAGATGTGTGAAGGCAGACCATCACCAAAGTGCTTGTTTGTGTGTCAACACAGAGAGATTCCTTGATACAACATGATCCGTTCCGGGTGAAATGTGTGTGGAAGCTCAGCTGTTAGATCATGCCCCTCCCCAATGTTTCTGCTCATGCTGGCCGCAGGCATGCCAGGCAATTTAATTTGCTGAGCTCCCACCCAAAGAACAGCTGCTCATCTTGCTAAGTTGGCAAAAGTCAGCATCAAACACGCCTAATGTGAACACACCTGAGTAACTGCTTATCTTGGTCTCCAACAGCATCCCCAGAACAGAGCCTGCCATGTTCAACCCCAAAATCAGGGGACTGTATTCCAAGGAGGGGGAAGAGGGGATAATGTGAACAATCAAGACCCGAGGCGTAATGTTCACTCACCAAACCTAACCGCATCTGAACCGTCTTAAAATACACCTTGGTCTTATTTAGCTACGTGCTGTGTCCTTATGTGCCCTTGCTGAGGAGAGCATGAGTAGAACTGGCTGCTCCTAATCACTTTGGGAAGGGCGGTGCTTTTCCCAGCTCATTCTCTCATGCCTGTTGGTTATCCCATACCTGCCCTAGGGTGCTGTTTTGGTCTTAAATATCCTCCTTTCACCAGATGTGCTTAGGATCAACTTTATTGCAATATCTTTGCACTGTCTCACTGTTTTGATTTACTCTGGCCCTCAGCTCCCCACCTGTGCCATGGGAGAAGCAGAGTGGCTGTAGAAACCTTCTGAATACTGATCAGGAGGCAGAGAGTGATAGCTGGTGAGATTTGGATGTTTTTCCAAATGCCTCCTGCCTACCCAGTGGTTGTTTCAAACTGGTAAACATCTCCCCTTCCTGCTCAGGAGCCACTGTTACCTCTAGGGTTAGCAGGGTAGTTTTGACTTGCTTTTACAGGGGTGCCTTGGTTTCCTCTAGGTTTTCCAAAACAGTAGGAAAATCATCCTATATGTATTGGTTTAAATGCCCATTTCCAGGATTTCTAAGTTATGCTGCAAGGCTTTTATTCATGCGTGTCCCCTGGTTAGTGAAACATGGACAGAGCAGGTTGAGGAGCAGCCCATCCTAATGTCAGCGGGGAGGGCACAGGAGGCTGCAGCCCTACTTCTCATGCTACTCCAGTGCACTTCCATGTCTAAGCTAGACAAGACATGCAGGAGCTGAAACAAACTGGACCCAGATGAAAAATACTTCAGATCATTTTTTGTGTGTCCTTAAACCAGGTCTCAGCCTGAACCATTGCTTTGAAGTCTTTCTTGATTCTCAGCTGGATGGTTGAGCCCTCTTCCATCTTCCTTTGAAATGGTGAGGAGCTAAACATAATGCCTTGACTATCTTCTGGCAGGGACCAGATCAGCACAGCAACCATTTGGGGTGTCTCTGGGGGCCTGAAGCATCCTGCCCCAGCCTCCCTCCAGTTTTCTCCCACCATTTCTCTTCTCCAGCCACATAAGCCCTTCTTCATTCCCTGCAGTGCTGCCCAGCTCTGCAGCTGCCATCAGGGATATGGCCACTCCAGAGGCCTTTGTATCTGCCAGTAGTGTACTGGTCCCAGCAGGAGAGGGGATGGCCAGGCTTTTGATTCCTTTCTTCCTGCTGGCAATGTCCTAAAGGGTCTGTGTGTGAACATGGTGTGGTCTCAGCCTAAGCCTGAGCCATCGATTTGCTAAAGGGGAGTTCCAAAGGTGTTTTCCCTTCCCCTTACTCCATCTCCATCTCCCCTCATCCCTTCTGAATGGGGAGCAAGCACCTTCCTGCTCTGAAGGAATAGTGTGGCCAGCAGGAGTAGGGAAGTGATCGTGCCTCTGTGCTCAGCACTGGTGATGCCACACCTCAAATACTGTGTTCAGTTTTGGGCCCCTCACTACAAGAAAAACGTTGCGTTGCTGGAGCATGTCCAGAGGAAAGCAACAAAGCTGGTGAGGGGTCTGGAGCACAGGGCTGCTGGGGAGCGGCTGAGGGAGCTGGGGGGGTTCAG